TCCCGTACAAACAATTATTTTTATTCTATGATTGACTTTCGTTGGATTATGCAATTAATTTCGATTATTCCCAAATTGTTTCCAAGTTATAAAAATTGTTATACATAAAAATAAAAAATTCGTGCTAAAAAATCACGTAGAATTTTATTTTGAAACACTGTAATTTAAGAACAGTTATTTTCTCATTTGAACATGAGCTATTGAAAGTTAGAGAGTTGTGCCCCTTTAATTGTTTTTATCAGTAGAAACCAAGATGGCAGAATCTGAAAACAATCGCTGTAATGAAAACTTTGGAATCCCAAATTTCAGGATTGCTAGTCCAGATCCAACCCGGAATGTTTTTAATTTGCTCACAGTTTCGGCCTGATCCCAAAATGATATAATATGTTGGGCTACGGCCTCTGAAAAGTTTATAAAGTATGACACAGTGACACACTGACATCTGTATTTATTATTGAGTTGGTGCACAATTATCAGGCGTTTTTAAACAATATTTATTATGAAAAAAAGAAACATAACAATTTAACAATAACATTTTTAATGGGCATGATTATCAACAGGCATTTTTTAACCTGAAAATAAAATATTTTTATTAAAAAAAGGAAACAAAACAGTAATTTTTATTAACAATTAACTCGCCTCCAAAAACGCCTGATAATTATGCACCAACCCAATATATAGTTTAAATAATAAATGTCTTTAAATCAATCATGCTAATCATCGGAAACTAGGAAAACAGCTTTATATTAACTTAGGGAAACAATCTCTGTCCATTGTTAAAATACATGGCATTCTCTTTTTATTTGATACAGAATAAAAGGGTCATTTTTGAGCATGATATTCACTTGTTATGAGAATCCTAAATGAAGAAAAATTTTACTAGAATCAGAAGTGACTTAAAAATATCAGTCTATTTGGAGAGGGAAAATATGTGAGAATTGAAAGACCGAGGCATCCGAGATGTCGATTGACATTACATTTGTATATTTGAAGATTACAGAAGGTAGAGAAAGAGAGAGAGAGAGAGAGAGAGAGAGAGAGAGAGAAGAAGGTACTAAGCATAAACTAAATGAAGACATAATGCATGGTCAACAGTGACAAGATAAGCCCGAAATGCGACTTGCAGGTTGGGGACACAAACAAGTGCGGAAGTTCAAATATCTGGCAAGTATTTTGACCGAAGACGGTAGGTATGATGCTGAGATCCGAAGACGTATTGGAATGGCCAAGGATGCATTCCAAAGGCCGTGCAGAGTATTACGAGACAGGAGGGTTTCGTTGGTAACAAAGAAAAGAGTACTGACCTGCTACGTGACATCCGACCTCCTTTAAGGCAGCGAATGTTGGACGGTCTTCTCGAAGATGAAGAAGAGACTCAAGGCAACGGAAATGTGGTTCTACAGAAGGATGCTGAGGATATAATGGACCGAGATTGTGAGCAACGATGAGGCTTTGGAGAGGATGCAAACGAAGAGGAAGCTTATACTTAACATCAGAAAAAGGCAGCTGAAATTTCTAGGACATGTAACGAGAAAGGAAGGCATTGAGAATCTGATACTCACAAGTCGAATAGAGGGAAAGTGAGAGACAAGGGAAATCAACGTATGACATACCTGGCGGGCTTAAGCAAGTGGATGACAGAACGTGATCTGGGGGAGGGTGGCAGAGGGACGAAACATTGAGAGCTACAAGGGATAGGGAGAAGTGGAGAGCCACGATCAGCTGTCTTGAAGGGACATGGCACATCAAAAGACGGAAAGAAAAGTAGTTTCAAACACAGAAACGCTCGTAAATGATAGTTATTAATCGAAACGCTTCATCTAGTAATACAATTCGATATAGTATTTAATATTAAAACAAGGAAGAGATAGTTGAGATTTACAGCATAATTAATGAGGAAAGAAGGCTTGGAAAATATGCTACCCACAGGACAGATTTAAGGCAAGATGGACATAGAAAAACAACGCATAGCCTATGTGGTGAGTAAACGGATGTCGGAAGAAGGATTTTTATTTTCATCTTACGAAAGGCAATAAAGCCACTAAGACACAAGGGGGGTTGCAGGGCGTGGGAGAATTAGGAACAGAATATTAATGAGCCTGAAAAGGAAAGAGTAACCAGAAGAACAGTAAATACCGATTGACATTGCATTTAATTTTTCCCGATTTTAGCCATGGATTAGGGTGTTCCACAAGCGAGATGTGCGACAGAAAACAAAAACTGTTAACATAGAATTTATGGTTACATCTAACCAGCTCAACTGTAAATTGATGATAAATCGTAGCCAGTGTAGTACTGCGTTTAAATTAAAAAATCTAGGTACAATAGCGAAGAGCGATATTTGCTCTGCTAATTACAGAAAATGTGGCACAAGGACAAACATGGGGAATGGGGAAAAGAACGGTCTTCTTCTCTCTTAATATTAAACTTATCTAGCCACAAACACTGATCCAAACATACAAACAATATTTCTAACACCAAAACAACGTATTCTTACTTACCTTTCTTACGACATTCACCATAATACCTCATTGTCTCTATGAAAATCCTAACTAAATCCCATATGGACAATTCATTGTCTGTAGAGAGAAGGAAGGAAGTAAAGCAGCAATTTAAAAAACTAGCCCCAATGTGTATTTACAATATGAATACAGATCTATTTACAAGAAACAAAACAAAATAATGTTAGCAATATAACCCCCACAATCCTTAAATATGGCAGAAACATCAATTAACTAGCGAAGAGCTCATCCGAACAATTACCATGAAAGTATTTATAGAAAAGACACGGAGACGCAGCCTTACAACGATGGGAAATTGACTGAAGCCGAGACGCCAGATCAGGACCAATAATATTGCTGATTTTTCTTTGGATTTTATCAAAGAGCTCAAGGTAAATAGCAGGGGCATCGAACCATATATGGCAGTAATGTTCTAAGCATGAATAAATGGTAGGCTTATAGATATGTAAGATAGATTCTGAAGAGAGAAATTGTCTCGCACGACACAGTGAACCATTCTTAGTTTAGGAGAAATAACAAAAAGACAAAATTTACTAAGAGCTACAAAGGAGAGAAAAGAGCCATGATCGCCCACGTCCTGAGGGGATCCGACACGTAAAGAAGAAGAAGGATACATGTTCACACACGTCGACTTTAGAAAATTTAACCTTCCTTTGAGTGTGTCTAGGGTGCGGGGATAATTATCTTGAAGCGGGTGGTGAGTATGAGACTGAAAAAGAAATGGCATATCCAATTTTTTCTCTTTAAGACATTTCTGTTCGACCAAATGTTAAGACGGTAGACGATTGAATAAAGAGATTATATTGAATTATTTAATCTTAAGATGTACGTGGTGCCATCAAACCGGAGTCTTTGATATTTTTTTTCTTCCTTTTATTCATTTTCTTTTCCTGGACCGAAATGAAAGTTGTGCAGTTAAGCAGAAAAGGTAAATCCAGGCGTAAGTGCCTCACACCTTGTCTGTCCGTTAGCTTTGAGCGCGCGAAACTCGAGCCGCTATTTTGATAGAAGCCGGAGACAAAAAAAAAAAAAAAAATGAAAAAAAAAGTGCGAAAGTAAACAAAAATGGTGCCGCTGGCCAAAGTTGCAGACAACAGCCGCTTGCTCGCTATATTCACGGGAAGGAGAGACCTGTCGACAATGAATATTTTTACCAGATTAAAAAAAAATATATATATAACTAGACAAATGACAGCCGGGGGTATACATTAGACAAGATTTTTGTTTGACTGCCTTGTCCATCTTTTTGCAAAATAAAATACATCTTGTCGTCTGCAGTGTCAACAACCCATATATACGCTTGCATATGCCCCGCGCATAATTTACCCACTATCCCTTGTATTTCTAAGTTTTATCTCTGTAAATTATCTTTGCAGTTTTAGAATTAACTTTTTAGGGTTATTATTTTATTAATTTATTTTATCTTTACATGTTCTTTTTTGTCGACTTTTGATTTCTTTCCTTTACACTTACTTCTTCTTCGTTTCAACTTCTTTTCCTTTCTTTGTTGTTAAAGGGTAATTTGCTCGTTTCTTTGTTGTTATCGTCATCTTCCATGATTTTATTGTTATCGTCTGCTTTTCTCATTTTTTGTCGCTTCTTTGTTGTTATTATCATCTTCTATGATTTATTTTTTCCTTATCGTCTGCTTTTCTCATTTTTATCGCTTTTTTGCTGTTATCGTCATCTTATATTTGCCGTTATAGTCTGCTTTTCTTATTCTTTGTCGCTTCTTTGTTGTTATCGTCATCTTCCATGATTTCATTTTTACTTTGTTGTTAGTTATCGTCTGCTTTTTCTCATTTTTATCCTATTTTCTTTTTGTTATCGTCATTTTCATTTATTTACCGATATCGTCTGCTTTTCTCATTTTTGTCGCTTCTTTCTTGTTATCGTCACCTATGATTTATTTTCCCTTATCGTCTGATTTTCTCATTTTTATCGCTTTTTTGTTGTTATCGTCATCTTCAATTTACCGTTATCGTCTGCTTTTCTCAATTTTGTCGACTCTTCTCATTTTTATTGCTTCTTTGTTGTTATCGTCATCTTTCAGTATTTCTTTACCGTTATCGTCTGCTTTTCTCAATTTTGTTGTTCTTTGTTGTTATCGTCATCTTCTATGATTTACTTTTCCTTATCGTCTGCTTTTCTCATTTTTGTCGCTTTTTTTGTTGTTATCGTCATCTTCTATTTACCGTTATCGTCTGCTTTTCTCATTTTTATCGCTTCTTTGTTGTTATCGTCATCTTCTATGATTTATTTTTCCTTATCGTCTGCTTTTCTCATTTTTATCGCTTCATTGTCGTTATCGCCTATTTTTCTCGTTGCATTGTCGTTTATCATCTGACTTTTGAGTTTGTTGTTACAGCAAGATTTCTTGTTTCATTGTCGTTAGCATCTGCTTTTCCCCTTTTCTTTTCGTTTATTTTTCCCGTTTCTTTGTTGCTATTGCAAGTTTGTCTTGTTTCATTGTCGCTAATGTCTACTTTCCTCGTTTCTTTGTGGTTCTCATTTATCTTTTATTTACAGCAATTTTCTCTTCATTCATTGTTGTTTTCTTGTCCCATTGTGTTTACTATCTATTTTTCTCCATTCTTCATTGTTGTAGCAAGATTTTCTTGTTCCGCTGTCTTATCGTCTGCCATTTTCGTTTCTTCGTTGTCATATTTCATTTCTGTCTGCTTTTCTCGTTCAAAATTTTTCCAGCCTCCTGTATTTGAAATTCGGCATCCATTTAACCTTTGACTTTCTTACGCCGCTTAGTTGGCCACACGTCCACATTTCCAAAACACCCAGAGAGAATCAAATTTGCTTTAGCCGTAATGATCTAGACTAAATCGATGACCATAGCAACGTACCCAATTACAAAGCCTATATCTGCCACAAGGCCTTGAATGTAGGGCACCCAGTGAGCATCAATTTCATTACAAAGAGCAGTGCTCAACTCGTTCGTTAACCATTACGCTAAGGTCCCCGAATAATAATAGACGTAATTTAATCTGACACAAGGCTTCAGTGACAGGCAATCAATGGGGACGGAAGTAGAATGTCGTAAAGCTCTGCTGGAGAAGCTCGTTAACCATAACACTCAGACCAGACTCCAATTACAGGGGGAAAAATGGGGCACCTAGTGAGAATCCGATACATTTTTAGTAGTAACGATCTGCTAGATTACCTCGTTAAACGCTATTCCAACGCAAGATTTAAGGTTATTAAACTTAGCTTAGTCTGGCAAAAGGCCATAAGTATGAAGCATTCTGTTAGGATCAAACTCACTACACAACCTAGTTCAGTCTGGTTTAAGGATATAATTGTTAGGCTTCTTTTTATGCCTTCTCTTTCTGTTGTCTCTACTCTTTCTCTCACTTCTCTCTCATTTTCTCACTATTCCATTATCTTACTTACTCTCTAATCTCTATATTACTTCTTTTTATTCCTTCTCGTTCTGTTGTCTCTACTCTTTCTCTCTCTTCTCTCTCATTTCCACACTTTTTCTATTATATTACTTACTCTCTAATCTCTATTGACTTTCTTTTCTTCTTTCTCTTTCTGTTGCCTCTACACCTTCTCTTTCTCTCTCATTTTCTCACTTTTCTATTATCTTACTCTCTAATCTCCATTTTCTTTCGTTTTTTTCTCTCTTTGTATTGTCTCTATACTTTCTCTCTCTTCTCTCTCATTTTTTTTCACTTTTCCATTGTGTTACTTTTATGTCATTTTTTTCTTTTCCCCCTCTCTTCCTTTGTTCCATTCTCTCTGTGTCTCCCCCTCTTTATATGACTTTACTCGCTTCTCTCTTTTTTTTTTATATTATCGCTCTTATCTTTCTTATTTACATTTTTCACCCACTCATTTCTCACTTATCAGCTTTGCTCTCTTTTTTTTCTCTCTTTTTTTCTCTCTTTTTTTCTCCCTAATCTTTATTTTCTTTCTTTTTCTTCCGTTTTTTCTTAGTCTCCTTTCCTCCGCCTTCTTTCCATTCTGTTTTTACTCTATCTTTTCTCCTTATGTATCTCTCTCTTCACTTTCTTTCTTTCTTTCTTTCTTTCTTTCTTTCTTTCTATGATATTTCTTTATGTCTTTTCGCTTCACCTTTTCGTCGTCTGTTTCTTAATATACCTTTCTATTATAAACTTACTCTCTCAATAAATAATTTTTGTTTTCTTTCTCTCTTCCTTCTTCTAACTCTCTCTAATCTCTATTTTCTTTCCTTTTTCTTCTTTTTTTCTTTGTTTTATTCAACCCCCTCTTTCTTTTCTATCTTCACTCTCTTTTCTCCTTTTATGTCTCTTTTCACATTCTGTTTTCTTTCTTTCTTTCTTTCTTTCTTTCTTTCTTTCTTTCTCTGATATTTCATTATGTCTTTTCCCTTCACCTTTCTCTTTTCGTCGTCTCTTTCTTAATATACCTTTCTATTCTAAACTTACTCACTCAATAAATAATTATCGTTTTCTTTCTTTCTTTTGCCGGCTTTTCTTTCTTTCTTTCTTTCTTTCTTTCTTTCTTTCTTTTTTCGTTCTCAGTTTTACGAATCACTATACTCCCCTATCGCCTGCCATCACTGTCTCACTCCAGCGTCTCATTATCGCCTAATCAGTTTAACCAGCCAACCATTCACGAAATCATCTCTCCTTTACCATCGTCTCCACCCAGAAGTCATCACTTATTTCTTTCACGTCCCACAAATCCCGCATCGCCTTCTCTTCACTCCCCAATTCTTTTTTCTATTCGATTCCTTCATCTCTGTTCGCGTCTTTGCCCCTTGGGTTACCTTTCTTTAGCTTCGCTGGCCAGGCCTTTTAATCTTCATCTTTTGCGTCTCTACTCAGCACTTTGCAACAACAATAACAAAGGCAATAGCAGCAACAACCTCCGTTATTTCTAGTTTCTTTCATTGGATTTTCTGATATTTTACGTTTATGATACCTAAAATGGTCTTCTTCTTCTTCTTCTTCTTCTTCTTCTTCTTCTTCTCCTCCTCCTCTTATTTATCATGTCTCTCTTATTTCTCTATCTATTCTCTCTTTTATCCCTTATCTATTTTAACTCTCTTTATTATCCATTTACTTTTATCCTCTGTCTTTCTTTTTTCTTTTTCCTTTTCCTTCTTTCTCTATTTCTGACTCTAGTCTTTCGTTTCTTTCTTTGTTGCTTTATTTCCTTCGATATCTCTCTTTTTCTCATTCTCTCTCTCTCTCTCATTAATCTCCTTTCTCTTTTTCTCTATCCTATCTCTTTTTATCTACTTTCTTTTCTGTCTTTTTTTCTCTCTTTTTCCCTTTTTCTTTCTTAGCTTTCTTTGTGCTGCTTTCTCTCTATCTCTCTTCCTTTCCTCTTTTCTTTCTTTCCTGCTTTTTTTTGTTTGTTTGTTTTGTTTTGTTTTTAATCTCTTTCTTTACGGATTGATCCCTTCCCCCTCATTAATTTCATTCTTTTCTTCTCTACTCTTTCTTTCTCTTCTAGCTCATTTTTTCGCTTTTTAAAAATTTTTTCTTTCTTTTGTTCTCTTTCTTTTCCCCTTATTTTCCGTTGCCCTGTTTTCTCTATCTCTTTGTATCTCTCTATCTATCTCTTTTCTCGCCTCTCTCTCTTTTTGTTATTATCTCTCCCATCTTTCTTGCTTAAATTTCTTCTTCTCTTTTCGAACTTGTCCCTTTTCTGCCTTTCTCTCTCTTTTCGCTATAACTCTCTCTTCACTCTCTCTAATATTTTTCACTTTTTTCAAATTTTCTCTCTCACTTCTCCCTTTCTCTCTTCTTTCTCCCTAACGTTTTTGTCTATCTTCTCTTTCTTCCTTCTCTCTATATATCCATTTTCTTCGATACCACTTTTTATTGCCTTTCCGCTTTTTAAAATTTCTTTAAATTATCTTACTTTTCTTCCATTATCTCTCTCTTTACCTCCTCTCCTCTCTCTTATTTTTCTCTCTCTCTCTCTTTACGTCCTCTATCACTTTTTCCACTCTCTCTTTTCTTCCCGGCTCTCTTTATTTCATCTCACTCTTTTCTTCCTTACTGTTTCTTTTCACTTATATTCTTACCCCTCTCTCTCTCTCTCTCTCTCTCTCTCTTGCCTTTGCTCTCCTTACAGTCTCTTTTTTTCTTTAAATTACTCTCTCTTTTCTTCCCCTCTTGTTTTACCTCCACCCACTTTACATCCTCTTTACATTTCTTGTTCTTCCTCTTTACTTTCAGTCTCTCTTTTCTTTCTCTGTCTTTTTACTTTAAATTACCTCCCTCTTTTCTCCCTTTCTCTATTTACTTGTATCTCCTTTACTTCCCCCCCTCTCTCTCTCTCTTTTCTGTTTTACTTCCTCCTCACATTTCTTCCCTATCTCCTTTTCTTCCTTCTTTTTTTCTTTTCTTCCTCTCTCTTCTTTCTTGTTCTCTTTAACTCCTCTCTCTCTTTCTTTTCTTTCTTTCTTTTTTCTTTCTTTCTTTCTTTCTCTTTATTTTTTGTATCTCTTTTCTTTCTCTGTCTTTTTACTTTAAATTACCTCCCTCTTTTCTCCCTTTCTCTATTTACTTGTATCTCCCTTTACTTCCCCCTCTCTCTCTCTCTCTTTTCTCTTTTACTTCTTCACTCACATTTCTTCCTATCCCGCTTTTCTTCCTCTTTCTTTTTTCTTCCTCTCTCTTCTTTCTTGCTCTCTTTAACTCCTCTCACTCTCTTTTTCTTTCTACCTTTCTTTCTTTCTTTCTTTCTTTCTTTCTCTTTATTTTTTGTATCTCTTTTCTTTCTCTGTCTTTTTACTTTAAATTACCTCCCTCTTTTTTCCCTTTCTCTATTTACTTGTATCTCCCTTTACTTCCCTCTCTCTCTCTCTTTCTTTTTCTTTTACTTCCTCTCATTTCTTCCTATCTCGCTTTTCTTCCTCTTTCTTTTTTCTTCCTCTCTCTTCTTTCTTGCTCTCTTTAACTCCTCTCACTCTCTTTTTCTTTCTTCCTTTCTTTTCTTTCTTTCTTTCTTTCTTTCTTTCTTTATTTTTTGTATCTCTTTTCTTTCTCTGTCTTTTTACTTTAAATTACCTCCCTCTTTTCTCCCTTTCTCTATTTACTTGTATCTCGCTTTACTTCCCCTTCTCTCTCTCTCTCTTTTCTCTTTTACTTCCTCACTCACATTTCTTCCTATCTCGCTTTTCTTCCTCTCTCTTCTTTCTTGCTCTCTTTAACTCCTCTCTCTTTTTTTTCTTTCTTTCTTTCTTTCTTTCTTTCTTTCTTTCTTTCTCTTTATTTTTTGTATCTCTTTTCTTTCTCTGTCTTTTTACTTTAAATTACCTCCCTCTTTTCTCCCTTTCTCTATTTACTTGTATCTCGCTTTACTTCCCCCCTCTCTCTCTCTCTTTTCTCTTTTACTTCCTCACTCACATTTCTTCCTATCTCGCTTTTCTTCCTCTTTCTTTTTTCTTCCTCTCTCTTCTTTCTTGCTCTCTTTAACTCCTCTCACTCTCTTTTTCTTTCTTTCTTTCTTTCTTTCTTTCCTTCTTTCTCTTTATTTTTTGTATCTCTTTTCTTTCTCTGTCTTTTTACTTTAAATTACCTCCCTCTTTTCTCCCTTTCTCTATTTGCTTGTATCTCCTTTACCCCCTCTCTCTCTCTCTCTTTTCTCTTTACTTCCTCCTCATTTCATCCCTATCTCCTTTTTCTTCCTCTTTCTTTTTTCTTCCTCTCTCTTCTTTCTTGCTCTCTTTAACTCCTCTCACTCTCTTTTTCTTTCTTCCTTTCTTTCTTTCTTTCTTTCTTTCTTTCTTTCTTTCTTTCTCTTTATTTTTTGTATCTCTTTTCTTTCTCTATCTTTTTACTTTAAATTACCTCCCTCTTTTCTCCCTTTCTCTATTTACTTGTGTCTCGCTTTACTTCCCCCTCTCTCTCTCTCTTTTCTTTTTTCCTCCTCACATTTCTTCCTATCTCGCTTTTCTTCCTCTTTTCTTTTTTCTTCCTCTCTCTTCTTTCTTGTTCTCTTTAACTCCTCTCACTCTCTTTTTCTTTCTTTCTTTCTTTTCTTTCTTTCTTTCTTTTTTCTTTTCTTTTCTTTCTTTCTCTTTATTTTTCTATCTCTTTTTCTTTCTCTGTCTTTTTACTTTAATTACCTCCTCTTTTTCCCTTTCTCTATTTGCTTGTATCTCCCCCCCCCTCTCTCTCTCTCTTTTCTCTTTTTCCTCATTTCTTCCTACCTCTTTTCTTCCTTCTTTCTTTTTTCTTCCTCTCTTCTTTCTTCTCTCTTTTTCTCTCTCTCTTTTTTTTCTTTCTTTCTTTCTTTCTTTTCTCTTTTTTTTTTCTTTCTCTTTCTCTCTCTGTCTTTTACTTTACCTCCCTCTTTTTCCTTTCTCTATTTACTTGTATCTTTTCCCCCCCTCTCTCTCTCTTTCTCTTTGCTTCCTCCTCACATTTCTTCCCTCTCCTTTTCTTCCTTTTCTTTTTCTTCTCTCTGTTCTTTCTTGTTCCTTTAACTCCTCTCACTCTCTTTCTTTTTCTTTCTTTCTTTCTTTCTTTCTTTCTTTCCTTCTTTCTCTTTATTTTTTGTATCTCTTTTCTTTCTCTGTCTTTTTTACTTTAAATTACCTCCCTCTTTTCTCCTTTCTCTATTTACTTGTATCTCCTTTACTTCCCCCTCTCTCTCTCTCTTTTCTCTTTTACTTCCTCACTCTCATTTCTTCCTATCTCGCTTTTCTTCCTCTTTCTTTTTTCTTCCTCTCTCTTCTTTCTTGCTCTTTTAACTCCTCTCACTCTCTTTTTCTTTCTTCCTTTCTTTCTTTCTTTCTTTCTTTCTTTCTTTCTTTCTTTCTTTCTTTTCTTTATTTTTTGTATCTCTTTTCTTTTCTCTGTCTTTTTTACTTTTAAATTACCTCCCTCTTTCTCCCTTTCTCTATTTACTTGTATCTCCTTTACTTCCCCTCTCTCTCTCTCTCTTTTCTCTTTTACTTCCTCCTCACATTTCTTCCCTATCTCGCTTTTTCTTCCTCTTTCTTTTTCTTCCTCTCTCTTCTTTCTTGCTCTCTTTAACTCCTCTCCTCTCTTTTTTTCTTCCTTTCTTTCTTTCTTTCTTTCTTTCTTTCTTTCTTTTTTTTTATTTTTTTGTATCTCTTTCTTTTTGTCTTTTTACTTTAAATTACCTCCTCTTTTCTCCTTTCTCTATTTACTTGTGTCTCCTTTTACTCTCTCTCTCTTTTCTCTTTTCTCTCATTTCTCTCTCTTTTCTCTTTTTCTTCCCTCTTCTTTCTCACTTTTTTTCTTCCTATCTCTTTCTTTTTCTTCCTCTTTCTTTTTTCTTCTTTCTTTCTCTTTCTTTCTTTCTCTTTAACTCTCTTTTCTTTCTCTGTCTTTTTTCTTTTCTTCTCTTTTCTTTCTTTTCTTTTCTTTTTCTCCCTTTCTTCCTTCTTCTTTCTTTCTCTTTATTTTTGTATCTCTTTTTTCTTTCTCTGTCTTTTTGCTCTCTTTAAATTACCTCCCTCTTTTTCTTTCCCTTTCTCTTTATTTTTTTATCTTTTTCTTTCTCCCTTTAAAATTTCCCCTTCTCTCTCTCTCTCTTTCTCTTTTACTTCCTCTCTCTCTCTCTTTTCTTCCTTCCTCTCTCATTTTTCTTCTCTCTTTTCTTTTCTTTCCTCTCTCTTCTTTCTTGTTCTCTTTAACTCCTCTCCTCTCTTTTCTTTTTCTTTCTTTCTTTTCTTTCTTTCTTTCTTTCTTTTCTTTTCTCTTTTTTTATCTCTTTTCTTTCTCTGTCTTTTTACTTTAAATTACCTCCCTCTTTTCTCCCTTTCTCTATTTACTTGTATCTCCTTTACTTCCCCTTCTCTCTCTCTCTCTTTTCTCTTTTACTTCCTCCTCCATTTCTTCCTATCTCTTTTCTTCCTCTTTCTTTTTTCTTCCTCTCTCTTCTTTCTTGCTCTCTTTAACTCCTCTCCTCTTTTTCTCTTTTTTTTCTTTCTTTCTTTCTTTTTTTTTTTTCTTTCTTTTCTTTCTCTGTTTTCTTTCTCCCTTTATTTTTTGTATCTCTTTTCTTTCTCTGTCTTTTTCTTTTTACTTTAAATTACCTCCCTCTTTTCTCCCTTTCTTTTTCTTCCTCTCTTGCTCTTCTTTCTCGCTTTACTCTTTTTCTTTCTTTCCCTTTCTCTCTCTCTTTTCTTTTCTCTTTTACTTTAAATTACCTCCACTCTCCTTTTCTTCCTATCTCCTTTTCTTCCTCTTTCTTTTTTTCTTCCTCTCTCTTCTTTCTTTTCTTCCTCTTTCTTTCTCTCCTCTCTTCTTTCTCTTTTCTTTCTTTCTTTCTTTCTTTCTTTCTTTCTTTCTTTCTTTTTTTTTTTCTATCTCTTTTCTTTCTCTGTCTTTTTGTCTTTTTAAATTACCTCCCTCTTTTCTCCCTTTCTCTATTTGCTTGTATCTCCTTTTACTTCCCCCTCTCTCTCTCTCTTTTCTCTTTACTTCCTCACTCTCATTTCTTCCTATCTCCTTTTCTTCCTCTTTCTTTTTTCTTCCTCTCTCTTCTTTCTTGCTCTCTTTAACTCCTCCCATTGTTCCTAACTCTTTCTTTTTCTCTCTTTTCTTTATTTACTTCCTCCTCTCTACATGTTTCATTGCCATCTCTTTTTCTTGAAATGATTTCTCATCTTTTCTCTATTTTCCTTCTCTTTCTTTTTACTTCCTCTATCACTTTTCCTTATCCCTCTCATTTTTTCTCTCTCTTCTTCCTCTCTCTATTTTCTCACTTTTTCCCCTTCTCTTTCTTTACTTATTCTCACTCTCTTTTCTCACTCTCTATTCTCTCTCTCTCTTTTCTACTTTTATCTCTTTACCTCTCTCTGTTTACTTCCCCTTGCAATCTATTTCTTCCTTCCTTTCTCTCTCTCTCTCTGTCTTTGCTTCTTCTATCTCTCTTTAATTCACTCTCTCTTTTCTTTCACTCCCTTTACTTCTCTCTCTTGTTTTTATTCTCTCTTTTCTCCCCTCTCTCTCTACTCTCACTCTCTCTACTTCATTTCTCTTTTCTCCCACTTTCTCTTTACTACTTTTCTCATTTTTCGATATCTCTTCTTCATTCTTTCTCTCTCAGCTTCCTTCATCTTTCACTTTTCTTCCTCTCTCTCCCTCTCTCTCTCTCTCTCTTTTCTCCTCTCTTACTTTACTTATAATCCCTCTTGTCTTACCCTCCCTCCATTCCTTTTCTCTCTCTTTACTTCTTTTCACTTTCTTTAATATTTCTCTCTCTTTTCTTCCTCTCTATATTTTGAATCTCTCTCTTTACTTTCTCTCCTTCTTTACTTTTATCACTTTACTTCTTCTCTCTATATATTTCTCTCCCTTTACGTCCCCTTCCTATCTATTTCTTTCCTTCTCTCTCTTTACTTCCCTCCCTCTTTAATTTCACTCTCTCTATACTTCTCATTTCTCTTGTCTTCTCTCTCTCTTATCTTCTGCTCTTTCTTTCTTTCTTTCTTTCTCTCACTCTCTCTACTTTATTTCTCTTTTCTTAGACTCTCTCTTTACTACTTTTCTCTTTTCTTCAACACTCTCTATCTCTCTCTTTCTCTCTGCTTCCTTCTTCTCTCTTTTTTCTTCCTCCCTCACTCTCTTTTCTTCTCTCTCCCATTACTTCTATCCTCTTGACTTACCTTCTGTCTCTTTCTTCTCCCTCTCTCTCTCTTCTTCTCATTATCTTTATTTATTCTCTCTCCTTACTTCCCCTCTCTGTTTATTTTGTTTATCTCTTTACTTCCTCTCTCTCTCTCTTTCTCTCTGGTTCCTTCTTCTCTCTCTTTTCTTCCTCTCTCACTTTCTCTCTCTCCTCCTCTACTTCTAATCCTTTTCCTCTTACCTCCTCTCTCTCTCTTTCTCTCTTCTTCTTCTTCTTCTTCTTCTTCTTCTTCTTCTTCTTCTTCCTGACGTTCTCTTTTCTCTACCATAAGCTATTAGACTTTGCATGCAAAGAAAAACACGTTAGATCTCTTCATTACGTTTATACCCGGGCCCGAAAAATCACAACCCATATTGTGTCCTTTAAAAAAAAAATTGAGTTTAGCGTTTCAAAAGTAAAAAAAAAGATAACATTGATAATGGTAATCCTGATAGTACAGAAAAAAGACAGAATTCGAGTTTCAACAAACACTTTCATCACCTCCCACCAGCGAAATGTTGTATATGCCATAACAGCTAAAAATTGATATCTCGTAATGACGAG